GAAAGCCCTGAGGTGATTCCTGGCCAACCCTTTTAAGATGAAGCTGTTATTATACCATCGTTTCCTGACTCATCCACTTGATTTTACCAAGGTTTTAGAGTTCATTGTCTTCATCTCATAATTATCCCTTGTTTTTCCAGCATTTCTTCTTCCTCCTCCTCCTCCTCCTCCTCCTCCTCCTTCTTCTGCAGAAATTCTGTTTAGGAGATGACATGGCATAACTGCAAGATGCCTTCTCATTCCTAGTGCTAGCAGCTGTCCATCTATAAACCCCATGAGACTTCACAAAATTGCTGGTAGCCATGATGAGATCCCTGGGTGCTAAGATAGCATGCTAGCGAAGTTCAATAGAAACTCCTCCTCCTGATCTCACTCCCCTCCACAAGTGAAAGCAATAACTAGCATTTGAGTTAGACGAGAATTAAGAAACATGCAGGGACAGAAAACCAGGTTTGGACTGTACAGTTATTGTAGACACATTAGCTTGTGGTTGCTAGGGGAGTAGCCCAAACATGTGATGATGTTCTGTAACGCTTTTGTGCAGCTGGCTTCCACTGACGCAGGAGGGTACTGGTATGTCTTCTCATACCATAGAGACCTGCAAGCCTGGAAGGGGGAACATTTGCTTCAATTGAAGTGAAAGGAAGATACAGAAGAAAACTAATGCAATTTTAGTGATTCCTATAATTGCAATAGCAAATGATGCCATTGCTAGTTCTACAGCAGAAGGAAGTTGCAAAACTGAAATGCAGGGCTGCATGTAGACTGCAGGGTGCACATTGCCTAAATGTAACAAAGAGACTGGCTTCTCTGCATGATGTAGACCACCACAAGCAACTTTGCTGGCAACTGATGCCATTTATAACATTTGAAGAATCCCTACTGGGAACTTAAGAAAAAGGCTTATGCTGAGCCATACCATTTATATATCTAATCAATCAAGTCCCCATGAATTTCAGACAATATTCTTCCCTAGCTCTGTGTGGAGATCTCTGGCATTCCCGGGGTCTCCCATCCAAGTGCAAATCCATCCTGACCCTGCTTATCTTCACAGACAAGATCAGGGTTATTCAGGGTTGTATGGACAATGTTGTAGATGGGCATGTCTGAATAGATGTCTGCCATCTTTATACATGTTATGAAATGGATAGCAATCCACAAAAGCAGTCCCTAATGTTTGTACCTGCCATCAAGGAGCCATTGTTGGTCTGGTTACTAGTATGGCTATCCGTTTAAAAAGCCTGACAGCTACATTTTAAAGAGGCAAGGGAATTGGGAGATAACTGATAAAGAATAAAGCAAAGAAGACTGCTGTATTTGAGGCAGAATACAACTAGAACTTACCAGGACAGGCAGCATATGTTGAGCAGCAACATCTGTGCCACAGGCAGGCCCACAATAAATTAAAACAATGCAATATTCTAAGAACTCCAAAGAAGTAGAATATAAATGTTCCCTCAGAATGACAAATATCTGGCTTCACCAACGTCAGTAATTGTCCTTACATGGCACTGAAGCAGGCCAATTGCTAACAGACTTAAATAAAGGCATGATTAAAAAAGAAAAATCCAGAAGTTTGGAAGTGCATGACCTTGGCAGCCTTAAATTCTACACTTTTTAATGCCAGATTATTATATATTATTATATA